AAAAAAAACCCCAAAACAAAAAAAACATGACAAGAAAAGAACTTTTTTGAGTTCTAAAATATGGCCAGTTTTTATAGTGTTCCATGGACATTTAAAAATAATAGTTATTTTCCATTGCAGGGTAGAAGGTTATATACATGTATAAATATATGGTCTATATATGTATATCTTTCATATATATACACACATATATGTATGTTTATATGTATTTGACAAATCAAGATTTTTAATTATTTACTTTCATTATCTTCTTATTCCAGTTTTGCTTTATTCATTTATTTATCTGTTTATTCATGTTATTTAAGGATGATGGCTGCTTTAACTTTATTTCACCCACCTAAGTAGCCATCTTTGAACCACGAAAGGTTTTGCCCTAACTGACTATATCTGATATTAATATCGCCAAGTCTGTTTTCTTTCTCTTTGTATTTGCATGCTGTAGTCTTGCCCACAGACAAGCCTAGGTTTTCCCTGCTGTCCTTTAGAGTAGGATTTCAGGAACAAGATTAGATCAGTTGCAAGATTAAATCAATTATTAAAAATTGACAGGAAATATAGAGGACAGAAGAACATGTTAAATGACACCACAAGGGTATAATCAGCAAAGTATAGATCTGCAGACAAATGACCCAGTTTCTTTAATAAATAAACTGCAAAGAAAAAATATAGGAAATGGAGGGGAAATCTACCGATTAAAAGAAATTTAAGACATATCAACCAATTACAATGCTGTAGAAATTATTTGGATTCTGATTCCAGGAAGCAAGACATAAAAAAAAATAATAATAATTAGATGGTTTTGGTCCCCAGATTAAAAACTTTCAATGACTTTCTATTGTACTCAGAAGGGAATCCAAACTGATCACTACAATGTCAAGGATCTGACCCTGTAAGTCTACAACCCTATTGTATAGTCTTCCCCCCTTGGACCACTGCCCTTGCACCCCGCTACCCTCTCCCTCTCCACATCTTCACGTAACCAGCTCCTTCTCGTCCTTCAAGTCTCATCTGAAGTGAGCCCTTCCCTGACTTGCCCATTGAACACAATCGCTAAATCTGTTCCCTGTCCATTCCCTCCCCAGAGCTCCTGTATTTATCCACTTTGTCTTCCGTCTCCACACTCGACTGTAATGTGCACAAGGATAGGGACTGTGTTTCACCTGTCCTCTGTATCCTCAGAGCAGAGGAACGAGACAGGAGCACAAAAGGTAAGCAGGGAAGGCGGCTCCGCCCATCCTCTCCTTCCCCTCATCATTTTCTACCAAGGTCTTAAGGACTCGAGATAGGGCACCTAAGAGGTGGCTTGTCTTTGCTTTCTTCTGCCTCCATTCGTCTTCTAAGCTTTTTGTCTTTGTTTTGTAATATGCTGTAATTTTAATTAGTTTTAGAGAATGTCCTTGGTGTGAAAAGCGTTTATTCATTTACTCATCAGAACAGTGAGCACCTACTGTATGCAAGGCACTGCGTTCTGTCTACTTCCGTAAGGCTCGGGTGAAACACAATCCCAGGTGCTCTCCCTAAGACATCTTCCCTTCATCCTCCGAGATGCCAAAGTGTTTCCCCTGCACTCTCATGGCAGAGAGCAGCTCACATCCCGGGCTGTCCATCATGATAGCCCATATCACTTCCAGGACCATGGAACCTACCACCGAGTTGGACAAAATGGGGGAGGAGGGGGCAAAGCTAACTTTTCTCCTGTTATCCACATGCTTAGGTGCTGCTGGGTGCCTTTTCACCTCATTGCTACTCTTTTTGAAGCTCCAAATACTGTGCTCATATACAAAGTGAAAGCTCTGATAAAAGTAGTATTGAATTCTTCCCAGAGGGCAATGGTATATAAGCTCAGTGATTACCTTAAAATATTACTATTATTTTATTATTGTTTTTAATTTCTTTTAGTTGCTTAGCATATTATAGTTTCTGAAGTACTTTCATGTTGTGTGTGTATATATATTCCATATAATAATATAATCATCAGTAAATAGTAGGCACTCAGGAAATTAGGTTGGGTAAATAAGTTGTACTACTGGGACCACTCAGAGTCTAAGGGAGAATAATGTAGGAATTTTTTTTTTAACTTGAATTGACACATTGTAATTGTACATGTTTTATGGGGTATAGTCTGATGTTTTGATACATACATATGTCCTATAATGATCAGGTCGGGGTAGTTAATGTAACCATCACTTCACGCATTTATCATTTCTTTGTGATGAAAACATTCAAAAGCCTCTCTTCTTTTTTTTTTTTTTTTTCCTTTTTGTCTTTTTTCGTGTCCGGCAATGGATCGCAAACCCTCAGTGTCGCGCCCGTACCGGACCGGGACCGGCAACGGAATCGCAACCCTTGGTGTTGCACCCGCACCGCGCTCAGCCAGTGAGCGGGAACCGGTCTGTATGTGGGATCCGAACCCTCGGCGGGAGCGCTGCCACGCTCCCAAGCAGCGCACTATAGCAGTGCGCCACCGGGCCCAAAAGCCTCTCTTCTAACTATTAGGTAATATACAGAAGTTAACTGTTAACCGTAGTCACCCTACTGTGCCATAGAACATCAGAACTTATTTCTTCTATCCAGTTGTAATTTTGTACTCATTGGTTGTAGGAATTTAAAGATGGTGGATTGCTCAGAATTCTGGCAGGAAATAGAATTCACTCTGATATACAAAGAAAGACACTTTAGGGCCGGCCCAGTGGTGCATTGCTACAGTGCGCCACTTGGGAGCGCGGTGGCGCCTCCCGCTGAGGGTTTGGATCCCACATACAGACCGGTTCCCGCTCACTGGCTGAGCGAGGTGCAGGCGCAACACCAAGGGTTGCGATTCCGTTGCCGGTCCCGATCCGGTATGGGCGCAACACTGAGGGTTGCGATCCGTTGCTGGACATGAAAAAAAACAAAAAAAAAAAAAAAAGGAAAGAAAGACACTTTAATGAAGGGATGTGGGTGAGGATAAAGAAAAAAATAGCGGACAGTGAGGTACCCAGAGACTAGTCTCAGAGGCCAGAGGAGGCAATGAGAGCTGGAAACATGGAGGAGCAGGCTTGTCACCCAGGGGGATGCAGCCAGCAGGGAGGGGGAGGAGAAAAAGCCCTCCAGTCCCTCTCCAACCTCCTGCAGCACTCTCCATTGACAGAGCCCCATCTGGACCCAGCATACAAGGGTACCAGAGGCTGCAGACTGGTTGCCAACCTTCCAGACACACAATGGGAGGGAAATACAGGGGGCAGCACATGGAGAATGATTGGCGCCAAAGCCAAAAATTAATGTGGGGTGGGAAAATAAGGTCAAGTTTCTTAAACAGGATTGTTTCCGCGGAAGACAGAGGAATACAGAAGTATGGCTCAGCCTTCCTCACTGGCTGTTCTCAGGGTTAATGCAAAATGATGGACATGAGGATTGATTAAAGGTTCACCAAGGTGGGCTGAGCCCAGGCTGCCTCGCTGGGCCTTCTCCAGAGCCGCTCCTCTGCTGGCCTCTGCTGTTAAGGCCTCAGGAACCAGCTGATGGAATCCAGCTGCCAGTCACCCTCAGAAAGAAGCCTGGCACTTCTGTCACCACAAGTGACACTTGTTCCCATTTCTCCAGAGCCAACCCTCCTCCTCCTCAACAGCACTGACTATCTCCAAGCAGCCTTGTAGTAATGTTTTAAAAGCATGCTTGTAAACCAGTGGTTTGGAAGCGAGGAGGCATTTTTCTTCCTAAAGAGGTCATTGTTAAAAGGGAGAAAGAAGCTGACAGTTTTTGGATGCCTGTCATGTGCACAATGTGCACCTAGGTGCATCTCGGGTCATCTCATTTCCTCCTTCAGCACAATGAGGTAGGCTCATAATGTTGTCACATTTTCCAGATGAGGCACACTGAGGCTCAAAAAGATGAAGAAGCTTGCTCCTGTTCATTCATCTAAGTCACAAAAAAATGGGTTTGCCTCCTCCTTGGGCATACACATCAGTTCCATGGGGGAGGCTGTGTGTGTGGGTAGACATATGAGAAATCTTTGTACTTTCTGTTCAATTTCGCTGTGAATCTAAAACTGCTTGTAAACATAGTCGGTTCATTTAAAAAGAAATCAGTTCCATCCATGAGGCTACGTTCTAGGCTCTGGGGACAGTTTTCACTTAGTGGAAGGGAAGAGAAGCCTGTAGGAAGAAACACACACACACCCGCATACACTTTTTCACACCTCCTGGGGAGCAGACCTGAGCTGTATTTTCAAGGCAACAACTACATGGCTTTGCCCTTCAGCCCAAGTTCCTATACTTTGCAGAAATCCCTACTTTTATCTGCCCTTTCCTTTCTCGTAAGTATGTGTAGGGATTATGACAGCTACTATTGGGCAGTGGGAGTGTCCTGTGGGAAGGGGACAGAGTAACTGGTGTAGACCTGCAGTTCATAATCAGTGTGTACAAGCTGGAGTGTGTGTGTGTTTACCGTGCGCATCACATTTGGCCCACTTCATGTGACATTGTCGAATTTTTCTGTACATCTGTATTTTCTCTGTCACTGGATTAAAATCATGATTTAACAACCAAACACACTTACAAGTCTACAGTATAGCACATTGTTAAAATCCATAATAAATACAGGTTAAATTGACAAATAAAGAATGAATAAATGATAACAGCCACATTAGCACTGAACAAGAGCAGCTGCAAAATAGGCAATTTCTCAGCCTCCTACTGTGCCTTTATCAGCCCTGTCTTGATGTCTCACAGATCTGTGTTCTCCACTGCAAGACTGACAATTTTGCTATTATTGTAGAAGCCGTTATTACATGCCACTATTTTTGCCTTTTTCTCTTTGCACTGCCAAATCCCAATTATTCAAGGCAGGGAGGGAAGACATTGGCGGGGGTTTCTACCAGTGGAGCTTAAAGAGAACATCCCTCAGTGAGAAGCGAGAGGAAACTCCTTCTCCACCAATCATCCTCAGCCTTCACCCACACATTGTTGTGGGGGGCTCTAGACAGAACTAGGACCCTGCAGCGTGGGTTATGAATCCTCCTCTTATTTCCAAAACAGCCCCGGACTTTCCCTGTACCTTTTAATGAGGTCCATCTCCGCCTGATCCCTCTTATTAAGGAGCAGGTTTCGGCTGCTTTCGAAGATATCTTCAATCTGTTCTGGCCAGAGGAACAGAGTGCTGTTCAATTTGATGTCCTCTTCTGCAAAACACAGACAGTCTGCTCCAGGACACTGCTCAGCTTGGGTCAGGATGCGGGGAACTCATTCAGCGGAACAAGAGGTCCACAGAGGTAAGTATGGGAATGGCAGTGAGTGGAAGGCCCACTACGGATGAACAATAGCCAACATTTATTGAGCACGTGCCAGGTTCCAGCTAGAAAGTAGATGTATTATCATCCGTTTTTTTACAGATGGGATTCAAAATAGTTAAGCCAAGTGGTCAAAGTTACACTGCCAGAAGTCAGCAGAGCAGAGTTTGAATCCAGGTCTAATGAACTCCTAAGTCTACGCTCTAACCACTCTGCTTTATTGCCTTCCCAGCCTAGGTCTGAGTAGAGTCAAAAACCTGGGTTGAAGTTATGGTTCACATTTCAAACTATTCCATCTCATCTGAGTCTCAGTTTCTCTTTGGTTAAACAGCAGTAATAGTATCAATGCCAGAGGCCCTGCCCATCTATGGCTCTGGTCAATTAAAATGCCCTGGGTTTCCTTGTGAATTTAGGAGTCAGAGACCAGGGTGAGAGAATCTAGTGTGTATACACACAGTCAAGGGGCACAGCTCATGAACATGTGGGTGGATGGCCAAGGGACCATTTTTCATTCCTAGTCCCATCTATTCCTTCCATCCACACCCCCCTCCCCAACACATGGTGAACACCATGTAATTAAATGGCTTGCAGACAGCATATTGACTTTTCCTTCAGAACCTGGTCCTTACTTCAAAACTCTAACTTGGCCCAATAAATCTTCAAGGAACCCTGGCCATTTCTTCACTTTTAAGATATGAAGAAGCATGAAGGAAAGTATCCCAGTCTCCTCAAAGGTGGGATCGTATTAAGATTATAAATGAGTGAAATCTACCCATCTATAAAAAGGATTCTGCATGTGGAAGTGACTTTTCCAGGGACACCAGACACAAAATGCCAAGACATACATCTAAGAGCTAGAGGTTAATTCTCTAGATTTGTCTTCTTTTTGTTTAACAAGATTCCCTTTGACTTAAATTTCTGTGACTGAGAGTGTGGAATTAGTGTTTCTAATACATCAGGGCACTTGAAAAGCAGGTATCCCAATATTTAGTGGTGGGATTACTATAACTCTCCTTCCCTCCAACTTCTTATCCCTAAAAACATAAATATAGAATTTTTTTTTTTTTTTAAAGATGACCGGTAAGGGAATCTTAACCCTTGACTTGGTGTTGTCAGCACCACACTCACCCAGTGAGCAAACCGGCCATCCCTATATAGGATCCGAACCCGTGGCCTTGGTGTTATCAGCACCGCACTCTCCCGAGTGAGCCACAGGCCGGCCTATATAGAATATTTTTATATCTCATATATAAATGCAAAAATATAACATATACCTATAAATTTACATGTGCATATATGGCATTAGACTTACGGGGCAAGTCTGCATAGTCCATCAGGAACTCCAGCCGTTCAGCTGCGTCTCTAAGTTGCCTCCTGAGTTTGAACACAGTGACATTGCTGGATTTTTTTAAGTATTCACTGAGGAGTACCAGTTCCTCGGTATTGGCAGGAACCTCACTGACTTTGTCTGCGATGGTGTTGTACTGATTACAGATGCTGCAGAGAAAGAAACAGCCATCATCATCACCATCTAAAATGACTTTCTCGTGAGACTCATCAAGCTAAACAGACATAATTTCTACTTGGAAACTACAGTTATGTTCTCTAACTTTTCTCTACCTGCAAATCCTTAATGGACGATATTCACATGCACGCCACACTCCAGGAATAATTACAGTAGTAATGCTAACAACATCTGACATGTGTTACGCTCTTATGAAGTGCCATGGCCCATTCTAATCATTTACATATACTAACTCATTTGATGCTCACAACAACTCCAGGAGGTAGGTACTATTATTATCTACACTTTATAGTGGAAGAAAGTCAGTGTGAGTAACATCCAAAGCAATATGGTGTACAGGTGTCAGAGCCAAGATCTGAACCTGGGTTAATTGACTCTAAGGCTCATACTCATAAGCAATAAAGCACAGTACCTCTCATGGGTAGAATACAGATTTAGACTAAAACAGCAACAAGGACACCACCACAAGCAACAACAGCCCCTCACATTTTATGTTAAAGTAGAGCACTAAATTAATTTGTAATCACTGCTTTTAACAATACACCAGCAAGTTTATCCTCATGTGTTGCAGGTAATTCCTGGCAGCAGAGAGAAAGTTACACTCAACCTCTGGAATCACTAGATCACTAACTACCCATTTCTCAAAACAAGACTGTGAAAAATGATGTTATGATAGAAATGATTTGAATATGCTCTAATTCATATAAAAGCAAATGAGTGACAGTAATCGGCCTTTTAACCATAATCAGAAACAAATTTTCTGCAGTACATCCATGCCTAGTATAGAGAGGCCCTCAACAAATGTTAGCAATACCAGCTATTACAATTATTATTATTATTAATTGATCATTATATGTTGATGGTCATACCCCATAGATAAAAAACACTCCTGTTTTCAGTCCTCAGTATTCCATCTTAGCGTATGGAGACCCCTCCATAACAAAGTTAATTATATCGAACAGAAGAGAAGATGATTAAAACAACTTTGCTCATTGCTGGAAGGCTCAAGTGGTGGTCATTTTCCCATTCTCCAGCTGGTGTGCAGAATTACGATACCTGGTATTGGTGTCCCGGTTTACATCCACTTGGAATTGAATCAGACGGTCTTTAAGATTTTGGGCTCGCTCACAGAGATCATAATTTAGGGTCATGGCGTCAAGGCAGAACATGGCTAAAGGCACAGTAAGGTGCATGGATGCAATTTCATTTCTCCGTTTCTTTATGGCATTGATCCTCTGTAGAAAGGAGCACATGCAATAGCTTCATTTGCCTTGTAGCCTCGACCCATTTGCCCCCAGCCACACCCCATCAACCGTAGTCCGATGCTGAGCACAGTATATACACTAACAAAACACACTGGCTACTCATTGGATCGTCTGCAGCACATCATCAAGGCATGAAATATCAAGCGGCATCTCCTACCGTCACAAAATCCTCGATTTCATGACTTTCTTTCAGGAATGCAGTGATGTTTTGCTCGGCGGAGTTATCCAATAAGTCATCGTACTTTTTGTATACATTTAAATATCTTCCATATTGAAGAGCATAAAGTCAATGCAAATAAAGGGCACCGCATCGGATGAGTCAGAGAGGCAAATGAAGACATAAAAAATTAGCTCAGACCAGGAAAGAGAAATACCATGTAGCAAAAGGTGTATTGAACTGGGAATTCAGAATCTTGGCTTCAAATTCCAATTTTGCTACTTCCAAGCTACATGAACTTAGACAAGATATTTTACTTTCTCAAAGATCAGGGTCTTCAATTTTAAGTGGAAATGATAATTAATATCTCATAGGATTGTTGTAAAGTTTAACTGTAATAAAGTATACATAAGGCAATTAATACTATGCCTGACATACAGTGAATTGTCCAGTGAATATTACATATCGTTCCATGACCCCCAGCAGATTCCTGAAACCATGGATAGTACCAAACCTGATATATACTATGTTTTTTTTCCTATACATTCATACCTATGATAAGGTTTAATCAATAAATTAGGCATAGTAAAAGATTAACACAATAACTACTAATAAAATAGAACAATTATAACAATATACTGTAATAAAAGTTATGAGAAGGTAGTCTCTCTCTCTCCCAAAATATCTTAATATTTTTTGGACCATAGTTGACCACAGATGACTGAAACTGGAAAGTGAAACCAGAAATGAGGGGGTTGGCTGCAGTCCCTATCTCCCTTTCCAGCTCCAAATTCTATGTCTAAATTGTAAGGTGAAAATTTGGAACTAACGAGAGTAAAATATATTAAATAAAATTAAGTTTCTCTCTATCTGTTATCAGATCATGCAAAAGTGGCTGGACAGATTTCCCTGAAATTGTATAATGTGTTTGAGGTAATATGACATAAGATGAATTTGAATTAAAGATGATACTGAATGAGCAGAATTAACTTTGTGGGGCCCAGTGGGACACTTCCAAGAGGTGGCCAATGCTTCAGAGACTCTGAACCTGAGAAGCAAACAGAAGTCCATGGAGCTGTCAGTTCAGAAAGGCAAACTGTATGTATAAGACTCGATGAACAGAGAAAACAGGGGTTTCAAATAGATGTCCTCCAATCAAATTCACGAGGGGAGGCTTCCAAATATGAAGCCATGATTTTCAGACTCGGTTAGCAGTTGTTTTCAATTGGGGGAGATTTTGCCTCCCAGGGGACATTTGGCCATGTCTAGAGACATTTTTGGTTGTCACAACTGGGGGTTTCCACTGGCATCGACTGGTAGCAGCCAGGTATGCTGCTAAACATCCTACCATGCACAGGACAGCCCCCCACTATGGAATTTTTTGGTTAAAAATGTCAACAGAGCCACAGTCAGAAAAACCCTGGATTAGGGTAAATATTTATCTTGGTTTGCCTGGGACAGTTCAGGTTTGCACCTGTTGTCCCATGGTAAATGCTGATAAGACCTCTCTAACTCTTAAAGTGTCTCAGTTTGGAAGCTTCATTATATGACCACCTTAAACTAGTGACTGCTCACATGAACAGCTGTGAGATGTTCTACAGTGGGAACATTGAAGGGCATGGCCTATGGATTCAGACAACTGGTCCTCAATCCCTTAATCCAAAAAGCTCTGAAAAGAGAAAGGTGCTTGAAAACTCAGTTAGTAGCAAAAGCTGGCTAAGCTGGTATGAGGTTATCTTTGTGACTATTCATAGGTGTCACTGCAGAAATATCAATGCTTATCCACAGACCTCACACAAGCTGCAGCATAATATGTGATATATGAATTATACTACTTTTCAAAAGTCCAGAAATTTTAAAATGCCAATCTTGCCCCACAGTCTTCAGATAATGGAGGTGGACCTGTAATTGAATTTGAGTCCTGGCTGTCCTATTTATTTGCTGGGCAACATTGGGAAAGCCACAGTTTCCTCATCTGTGAAGTGGGGATGAATAGTAATACCATGAAGTATTGGCTATTGTTATTATATATGTGTTTCAGGCGTGTGGGAACAGGGACAGCTTGACTGATGATAGTTAAAAACTCTACAGACTACAGTTGAATTCACTGAAATAAAGCAGAACAGACTGCAACTTAACAACAACAACAACTCTAAACCAATGTCAAAAGACTAACTAATAAAGTTACGAACAAACCAACTTACTTGTGGGGGCCAACTTGATTCTTCTGAAATACCTTGAAAGTTTGATTCACAAAATCAGAAACAAGTTTTTCTTCAGTGTCAACGGTTCTAAGGATCAGATTGTATCTTTTCAATTCTGGAAACAGGATAGACTCCACCTAAAGAGTAGAAACCACTTTTGGATTTTGCAAGACATCCACAAGACACAAGAAGGAAGATGGTATCAAAATGCAAAAATCTCCTGCAATTGACTCATTTCCAGGGACACCAGCTGCATTTTTACTCTATTTCTTCTTGGACGGTGCTGGATCATCCTGAGGTTCCCTCTACTTCTATTTTCTCTCTTCTCCTTCTTTCCTGGGTAACTCATCTTTCAAATCCCTGCTCCCTCCAAGTCTCATATTCTTAGAGAGTCCTCCCTGGGTCTCCAGTGGATGTTGGGTTTCCCTGTTTATAGCTCACTTTCTGAACATTTTCCTGCTTGGCACTCATCACACTTGTAATTAAATGAATGTGTACTGAGTTTTTCTAGGTTTGTCATGGAATATCAATACTAGAAGGGTCTGGACTGTATTTGACTTCTTCACTACTGTATCCCCAAGGACTAGCAAGAACTTGACACTTAGTAAGTGCTTAGTAAATGTTGTGCAGACATGGGTTCTAATTCTGACTCTGCCACTAACTGACAATATGACCTCAGGTAAACTACTTCTCCTCTCTGAGTGTCCCTTTTCTCATCTGTAAAAAAGAAAAGACATACTAGATTATCCTCTCAGCTCAGAAAAAAGAAAATCTATGGCTTTATGATCACGAGACACAAAGAGTATCTTTTCTGAGAATTCAAACTCTCTGACTTCTTAATACGTGTGTGTCTCTGAGAGCGTTCTCATTTGCATGACTCATGCAGGCTGCGAAGTCCCTGCTGGTGACCCGTGGCCTTCCACCCCTCTCTCTGCTAAGAAACTTTCGGGCCAGTCTGTGGTTCACTTGGGTGAGCGTGGTGCTGATAACACCAAGTCAAGGGTTAAGATCCCCTTACCAGTCATCTTTTTTTTTTTTTCTTAAAAAGAAAGCTTCCAGTGACTGGTCTTCAGACTGCTTTATTGAGTCACAGGAGTTACATGCTTTTGATAAGAATACATCAATTTAGAAAGAGGGAGAAGCAAGTGCGAATGATCTTTGTCTTCTCTGGCCAATCCAAAGGTTTCTAAACCAGTGGAGGAACGTCTTTGCCGTGGCTGTGCTGCAGACAGTGGCTGAAAGCAAGAGGGTGGAGGGACTGGCACTGGTCAACCATCTGCATATGAAACAGTTTAGGCAGCAAATTGGGGACCCCGGGCAAAAGATCACCTGTGGGCAAGATGACTGTCTCTTGGGAAAAAGCTGTCAATCGAAAGAGGAAGAAACACCTCTTGGTGCCCTTTCAGTGTGGCTGGTTCTCCCATGCCCTAGAGAGCAGAGTGTGAAACTGAGTCACCAACAGTGTCCCTTCTGGGCAACTGTCACTGTCTGCTTACCCCCCTGGCTCTCTGATCCCGAGCTCCTCAGTTCTGTCACCACACTCAATGCTCATGCCTGAGCACTTCTCTGACGCTGGCATTCCTGGCACTTTGAGTGAGAGAACTCTCCCATCAGAAGAGAGACTGGTCCTAGCAGCCCCTTTCCACAATTACATTTATACATATTTTTATAGTTAATTTATACATATTTTTTTCTTGTTTATGAAGGTAATGCACCAACATGGCTGCAAATGCTGATTTAAATTTTAACTATTACATTTTTAGTTTTATAAAACTCTTTCTTTATTTCATCCAGCTTCATGTTATTTCTGCCTCTCATCCACCTCTTTTTATCTCAGTCACTATTAAAGCATGCTCATCTTCCATGGTTGTATTGCTAAGACAAATGATTGTTAATATTTACTTTGGTTTCCTTCAGTAACTCTTTCTCACAAATACAAGGGTACTTCAAAAAGTTCATAGAAAGGTTCACATTTTAATTCTATTTCTCCAGGAATTTTTTGAAGTACTCTACTTTCCTTCTACACTTTGAATGCTATTTATTCTGTTTTCAAGTCTTTTGCTGACTTTCTCCCCAGCTTTAAAATTCAAATTTAACCATACATAAGGCAGGACTGGTAGGGGATGGGTGTACTGTCCATCCGCTGCTGTTCTTGGATTTTTGTTTTAGGTGTTGCTGTGGTTTGAATGTCCCCCTAAGCTCATGTTGGAATTTAACCACCAATATGGTGGTGGAAGGTGTGGACTTTAAGAGGTGATTGGATCACAAGGACTGTGCCCTTGTGAATATATTGACCCATTCATGGAGTAATGTGTTGATAGTCTTAATAGGGGGTCTGGGTGTGGTTCTGATGAGTTTATAAGAAGAAGAAGTAAGGTTAGTTCTCTCTTGCTCAGCCCATTCTCTCCATATGATACTGTTGTCACCAAAGGACCCCGTAGAGAGTTCCCACCCAGAAGAAGGCTCTCACCAGATGTGTTCCCTGGACCTTGGACTTCCCAGCCTCCAAAGCTGTAAGAAATAAGCCTTTTTTCTTTACACATTACCCAGGTTTCAGGTATTCCATTACAACCAACAGAAACGGACTACTACAGATGTTCAACCTGAGGGATCACATTCTTTTCAATTCTTACTACCCAGGTTAGAGATAAAACAGTCTAAAGGGTTCGGGGAGGAAGCCAGTGCTGTGGGCATCACTAGATGGAGAGATCAGAGCTCATGCTGTCTTCTCTCATTGTCTGGTAGACTCATCAGCACTCCCTTGGGCCTAGCTTTCAAACCCGGTACAAACCGTCACCTATGACTATGTCTTCTTGGCAGTACAATCCGTGAAATCTAGTACTGCCCCTGCTGGGCTGTTAGCAGCAGCAGCCACATGAGGTCTGGCTCTCCCAGCCCAGCTGCTGCAAATATTGCCTATCAACAGCAGTGAAGCAGAACTCGAGTGGTGTGTGTTTTATCTGTCCGCAAGCCCCCCATTTATCCCTGCAAATTACAGGGTCTTTTCTTCCATTTCCTTCCTGGGGGTATTGGCTGTGGGAGAGCTGCTCACTGTTTCTTCCCCTTCCGCACACCCAGTTTTTATGTTAACTGAACTTGGTTGGGTTCAAAACTCCAAGTGCAGAGCTCTCCGGTGAAATCCACTGAAGCATTTGGCTTCATTGCTTCCCTATAAACCTCAACTCTAGTCTTAAGCTCTTAGAACCCGCCAAGAACAGAACTGTAAAGAGAAGAGTGCTCACAAGTGTCCAAGCATACGCACTTTACAGAGAGAATGAGAGGGGGAGAGAGAAAAACAGCAAACCCCACAGATCCCTTCCTCATGTGAGACTGGACACTGACCCTCTTACCACTGACCATCCAGAAAGAATCAGAAGATAGAGCTAAAAAGAGTCACATCCTTGTGATTGACCCCAACTAGCAGAAGAACTTTGCTAATAAGTGTCTAGAATTTGATGAGTAACTCTGTCCCGGAAAGGAAACTGGAAAGGGCTTGGGCCAGGAAGGAAAAGGTTATTCTCTACTCTAGTAGCCTACAGGGGCTAACAAACAAAAAACCAAACCAATGAAACCTCAAAATGAAATTAGATACAGTTTTACAAAATTTTTTGGCAAGTTCATGGCAATTGATCCATAATAAATTACTAACCTAAGTTAATAGATTGGAACACAACTGCCCTTTTGGAGCAGGCATCACGGGGGGAACTACACTCACTCACAAGTAACTCTTAACACCCTTGTTAGAAGTAAAATTTTGTGCTGCATGAGCATTTCCTTATGGTCCAAGTCATCTTTCTGGGGCCACAGGGGTGTACTCAGGATATATCCAAAGCAAAACTCCTCTGAGTATCATATCAACTGTGTCTTGTACAAACAACAATTTAAAATATATTTTATCCAGTAAGTGAATAAAAATACAAATGAATGACTAAATGTATACTATACCTTGGGGATCCCATTAGATTTCTTAATAATTTCCAAGAAAGAGTTGTGTATTAATTCCCAGCAGCCATCAAAAGATGGATTAAAGACAATAACAGGTTCATCGACTTCAAGTTTGATCATGATTAGCTGAGGTATAAAGAACTGCATCTCTTGGTAGGGCTCCTTGAAGTCATTTCCATCCTTCAGGAGACATAAGGTATGGCAACTGTCACAAAATTGGGCCTTCCAAAGTCAAGGGAGTGAGTCTTATGCATTCATAGTGCCACTTGAACACCAGGAAAGAAAATGAAGGGTGCCACGTACTGTTCATGTCTGAAATATGGGCTGGATACAGCTTACCCACCCCGAGCCCGTGCTCTGTCCCATTCCTGAAGCCTTTATTCAGTATTGTTTACTTTGCTTGGTAATTTCTGCACCCTAACTTCTAAATCCTTCCCATCCTTCAAAATTCAACTCAAAATCCCCTCCTCTGGGAAGTCTCCCTGCTCCCCAGCTGGATATTGTCTCCTGAACTTCTGAACCTCTGTATTTCCACTTCCTTCATGGTATTTTGTCTTTCTCTCTTGCAGGGACTTACATGCACATCTGATCTTCTCTACTTGAAACCTGAGGTCAGGATCTATGACTAACCTCTCTCTCTTCTTCAAAATATCCGTGACAGCATTTAGCCCATAATAGGTGCTCAGTAAGAATTTGTTGACTGGATCCAAAAGTATAAATGGTTATATGTATACCTCAAATACAGTTGCTCCTGAGCAGATAGCCTATTTCAGACACTCAAAATGTCAACCTTTCTACAACAGAAGTATTGATGTAGAGTTATGTCTATTTTCCTATAGAAGTTACTAACACAAGTAATTTTAGAGATGTCTAGATCTTTTTAAGGATGATTGATAAACATGTTAAACATCTACTGTGGATCAAGTGCCTATAAATTCCCCTCTTTTTCAGACACGTGAAGATTTTACATTTCCCTTTGTGTGGAATTTTAGAGTGAGATTCATTTCCACATCTGGGTTTCTTCTGCTTAGTAAAGTAGATGATTACAACGACATCTAAAGATTGGTTCTCTTTAGAGAGCTGACACTGCAGTCAAAATTCAGCAGGATTGTCTTCTACATTTTTTGAGCAAAGGGCCAACTGTTCATCTTTATTTCACCTGGAAAACTTAGCCTTCTGTAACCAGGCAATTTTTAATTTTTATTATTCTTTTTAAGGTAAAATGTGCACATGGTATAAAATTCAAGACTCTTCCTTGATCCCTAGGCTATCTAAATTTAGGGGATGCTATGATGCTTTGAAAACTAGGACTTAGTGTTTTTACTTTTTATGTCAACTTTACTGAAGTGGTTACATGAAGAAAAGTTATTAATTAGGTCAACAAAGCCTTTTGTCTTTAGAGGTGTCCCTTTCAAAGATCAAAGAACAAGAGTCAACATCTGCGATGATTACACACTACACTCCCTAAATATCAAGCCGAAGACTGATACAAATATTTTTCAACTCCTTCTTTGTAAAAGAGAAGATGAAAAAGTGATCCCTCCCCACTGAACTGTAAGAAGTATGTTATAGTTAATGCAATTAAAACAAAAATTCTTAACTTCTTTGCTTCTGTAAACTTTTACCAATATAATAGTGGGTGATCATCTCAAGAAAGCTTACTGTGTATTTTAAGAAACCATGTTCATAAACTAATAATTACCTGATGTGTGTGCACATCAAGAATTTTACTGTTTGGCCTGGCTTCCAGCCGAGGACATATAACAGGACTTCAAAAAGTTCATGGAAAGATTCATATTATCTTTTGGTTCTGTTTTTCCATGAACTTTCTGAAGTACCCTTTTACCCAATGGGACCCTAGTTCTAACCAGGTTGATTCCCCTCAAAAGGGCTGACCACAGGTCCCCTACATACCTTGTGTATCATGAAAAAGGAAACGAGGTCCTCGAGGGACTTAATGACCAACTCCCTGAGCTGGAGTGACATGAAGGATGCAACAGAAGCAAAATATTCTTCAATGTTTCGCGAGGAATCGTAGTCGCTCTTGGGAGCAAAATGGACCCACTGTTCCTTCCTGGAGGCAAAAAGCTGGGCACAGGTGGTGATCCACCTGTGGAGACATGAGGGCATCCACGTAAGAAGCTCTTCTGAGCTCTGAGAAGTCCTCTCAGCCGTCCCCTGCACTCTGTGACGAGGCAAAAAGCTGGGCACAGGTGGTGATCCACCTGTGGAGACATGAGGGCATCCACGTAAGCAGCTCTTCTGAGCTCTGAGAAGTCCTCTCAGCCGTCCCCTGCACTCTGTGATGAGGCACATGGGCCCCCTTCCTACTAAGCAGCCTTATGCATCAGTACTTTCATATTATGGGCCATCTCTCCTGCCAGCGCCCCTTTCCTGGGAAGAAAGTAACAAGATTTGAATTGAGAGACAGTCCTTTCATGGGCAATACCCTAATAGACAGGGGTGGCACATCCTGCTGAAAGAGTCCACAGTGTTTTCATTAGAATCAGAGATTGGGGTGAAGGGGCATAGGATCTGGAATGTTCTGCCCAACTCTTCTCTCTAGCAGGTGGCTGGCCCCTGAGTCAGACTTTGTAGGGGGGAAAGATAGAAAGAGGGGAAAAGGAAGAAAACTGGGAGGAGAAGCTGCAGTGAGAGAAGGATGGCAGCGGGAAGTCAGCCGACTGTGCAGTCCCCAGCTGGGAACCAGGTTTTATTTCAGAGAGTTCTGGTCCGTACGAGGCTGGGACGCAGCCCCACACCGAGGCCGGATACTGACTTGTCCAGGAGAACGTGGCGCGCCTCCTCGCAGTGTCTCTGGATCACTTCCTGATATTCGTGAGGCTGCAGAGGCAATTTTCCTGCCAGTAATTCCGCTGTTCTAACAAACCTGAGGTCTCTGAATCTGCCAAAAGAGAGGGAGAAACTCTGTAAGCTAAAATACGCCTAAAAACAAATACTGTGGGACAGGTGCAAAGGGTGTGTGTTTTCATTTTTCAGTGGGAAGAGACTTAGGTAGAGCAAAATTAAACCTGGGAGTCTACACAGGGAGTGCTCGGTTCAGAAGAACTCTTGCAGAGGAGATAAATGAGTCGCCCCTACAGGTGTCTCCTGAGCCTACTGTGTGCCTCGCTCTGGGGCACTGGTCAAGGAGTGGGGCTTTGGCACCACTGGGTATTTGGCTGGCTGGGAATGTGGACTAACAGACAAGTCAAAGTTCTCTGCAACAGCGAAAACACAGAGGACAGGGTCGAGCAAAGCACTGTCTCCACTGTCCAGTGAGTTTCGCCCGAACCTCAGTGTGGCCTCCAGGTGGGCCACTGAAGACAACTTGGGGGACTGCTTGGGTGTGAACCCAAGAAGCCTGTGACCTACCTCTTCCAGCCCACTAACTCCTGCCACTGCGTGGGTGAAGAAAGGCCAGCCAGTGAGAAGAAATAAGAGTTCTCTCCACTACCAGGGGGATCCTTTTAAAATCTGAGTCAGATCATGTCACCCTGCTCATAGCCCTCCAGTGACTTCCCAATTCAGAGTCAAAGCCAGAGTTCTGATGGGGGCCACAAGACCCTCCACAGCCTGTGCCCTTTCCCTTGCTCCTCGTCCTCCCCATCTTCTCTCTGACCTCCTCTCCTGCCGCTCCCCAACTCACTCATTACTATGCCCAGTGCACCACCGCTTGGTCCTTTGTGCAGGCTGTTCCCACTGCCTGTAGAGCTCATCTGACCCAAATCCACAGGCTGACTCCCCCAGGTTCAAGTCTGCCTCACATGTCACCTTGACACTGTGTGTGTGGTCGTGTGAGTTGCACCCTGCCCAAGGGGCCAGAATGAGGGGGTACTCTGTCTGCCAAGCACTGCACTCTGGTGTTAGGCTGTGTCCATCCCAGGAGGGGTTAGGGTGGGTGGGAGGCTTTTCAGATTCAGATTAAAGCATCTTATTGGATAGCATTCCCACTGCACCCCCCACAAACCACACTCCATCCCCATTGCTCATGGCACCTGTCACATTCTAACACACCATATCAGTTACTTTTCTGTTATATTTATTGTCTAACCTCTAGAAAAATGAACTCATTGCTATATCTACAGCACTAAAATAATGCTCAGCACATACCAGGGCCCACCACCTATTTGTTGAATGAACAAATGAGTGAATGAATGAATGGATGAATGAGTGAATGAAAAAATGAACGTCCTAACTGTTTGGGAGCCAAGAGAGAGAGGAGCCTTTGGACCTAACAGATATACTTATTTCTGCTCTCACGCTTGAGTAATACCTTCTGGAACTACTGATGCTGGACAACTCCAGGGGTAGAAGTAGGACAGTGAGGATGGACAGGGAAGGCGGGAAGTAGCAGAGCACTCCTCCCAGCCTGGCCAGGGTCCCCTCACTCGGGTTTTTCTTTTTTCCCTCCTATCAGTCCATTAGACTTGGTAGCTAGATGTTGGTCAACCAAGGACGTGGCTGTCCAGTGCTGTTGAACAGTTACAGAGGGACCATTCATACTGGAGTCTGTGTGAATGGTGCCCCCTGGAGTTGTGCAACATGGCAGTCCTGTAGGAGGAAAGAGNGCAGTGAGAGAAGGATGGCAGCGGGAAGTCAGCCGACTGTGCAGTCCCCAGCTGGGAACCAGGTTTTATTTCAGAGAGTTCTGGTCCGTACGAGGCTGGGACGCAGCCCCACACCGAGGCCGGATATTGACTTGTCCAGGAGAACGTGGCGCGCCTCCTCGCAGTGTCTCTGGATCACTTCCTGATATTCGTGAGGCTGCAGAGGCAATTTTCCTGCCAGTAATTCCGCTGTTCTAACAAACCTGAGGTCTCTGAATCTGCCAAAAGAGAGGGCGAAACTCTGTAAGCTAAAATACGCCTAAAAACAAATACTGTGGGACAGGTGCAAAGGGTGTGTGTTTTCATTTTTCAGTGGGAAGAGACTTAGGTAGAGCAAAATTAAACCTGGGAGTCTACACAGGGAGTGCTCGGTTCAGAAGAACTCTTGCAGAGGAGATAAATGAGTCGCCCCTATAGGTGTCTCCTGAGCCTACTGTGTGCCTCGCTCTGGGGCACTGGTCAGGGAGTGGGGCTTTGGCACCACTGGGTATTTGGCTGGCTGGGAACGTGGACTAACAGACAAGTCAAAGTTCTTTGCAACAGCAAAAACACAGAGGACAGGGTCGAGCAAAGCACTGTCTCCACTGTCCAGTGAGTTTCACCCGAACCTCAGTGTGGCTTCTGGGTGGGCCACTGAAGACAACTTGGGGGGCTGCTTGGGTGTGAACCCAAGAAGCCTGTGACCTACCTCTTCCAGTCCACTAACTTCTGCCACTGCGTGGGTGAAGAAAGGCCAGCCAGTGAGAAGAAATGAGAGTTCTCCCCACTACCAGGGGGATCCTTTTAAAATCTGAGTCAGATCATGTCACCCTGCTCATAGCCCTCCAGTGACTTCCCAATTCAGAGTCAAAGCCAGACTTCTGACGGGGGCCACAAGACCCTCCACAGCCTGTGCCCTCTCCCTTGCTCCTCGTCCTCCCCATCTTCTCTCTGACCTCCTCTCCTGCCGCTCCCCAACTCACTCATTACTGTGCCCAGTGCACCACCGCTTGGTCCTTTGTGCAGGCTGTTCCCACTGCCTATAGAGCTCACCTGCCCCAAATCCACAGGCTGACTACCCCCAGGTTCAAGTCTGCCTCACATGTCACCTTGACATTGTGTGTGTGGTCGCGTGAGTTGCACCCTGCCCGAGGGGCCAAAATGAGGGGGTACTCTGTCTGCCAAGCAGTGCACTCTGGTGTTAGGCTGTGTCCATCCCAGGAGGGGGTAGGGTGGGGGGGAGGCTTTTCAGATTCAGATTAAAGCATCTTATTGGATAGCATTCCCACTGCACCCCCCACAAACCACACTCCATCCCCATTGCTCATGGCACCTGTCACGTTCTAACACACCATATCAGTTACTTTTCTGTTATATTTATTGTCTAACCTCTAGAAAAATGAACTCATTGCTATATCTACAGCACTAAAACAATGCTCAGCACATACCAGAGCCCACCATCTATTTGTTGAATGAACAAATGAATGAATGAATGAAAAAATAAACATCTTAACTGTTTGGGAGCCAAGAGAGAGAGGAGCCTTTGGACCTAACAGATATACTTATTTCTGCTCTCACGCTTGAGTAATACCTTCTGGAACTACTGATGCTGGACAACTCCAGGGGTAGAAGTAGGACAGTGAGGACGGACAGGGAAGGCGGGAAGTAGCAGAGCACTCCTCCCAGCCTGGCCAGGGTCCCCTCACTCGGGTTTTTTCTTTTTTCCCTCCTATCAGTCCATCAGACTTGGTAGCTAGATGTTGGTCAACCAAGGACGTGGCTGTCCAGTGCTGTTGAACAGTTATAGAGGGACCATTCATACTGTAGTCTGTGTGAATGGTGCCCCCTGGAGTTGTGCAACATGGCAGTCCTGTAGGAGGAAAGAGAACCAGAAAAGTGCTGCGTGCAAGTTCACGGACCACTTCTTCTATCCAGGCTGATGCCACCCCACTGGGAGGCACAGGACAGCTCAGCCCAAGGCCTTTATGAAGGCAGCTTTGATGAAGCTCTAAGGGTTCTTAGTGAATCAAGGCAGAGCTCTGACCTACAACCATGATGTGTTCCACTGTAGGCAACAACACGACTCACCCTGGGGGCACCAGGATGGACACAGCATCCCTTAGCGCGATGTCTTACACGATGTGGGCACTCAGTGAGTGTTTGCTGAATGAACCAACGAATCTCCTGCTTTCTCCCATGACACTCTTGCCTTTGCCTAGTTCTCCCAGGTCGATGGATGTCCTGCCCTTTGCCACACTCCTTTAGCTCACTGGTCCACCAATTCTCTTTCTGGTGTCTGTTCCATTCATTTATAAATCATCACTGCTTGTCTCCTCCCAAACTAGATCTTTGCCTGGTTTCTTAGCTCATCTCAGTTCTTGCCTCTCATTTCCATCATCCACGTTAATGACCCCTCAGGCACTGTTCCCCATCCCCCAAGCCCCGTGGCCTGCACTTCCCGTCATTTCGTGGGGTTGGTGAACTTAGTCTTTGTCTTGTGGGGACAGACTCAGAGCTCAGAACACTGCTAGGGAGGTCAGAACTCCGAGGACCTCCTGTGCCATGTGTTTGGCATCTGCCCTCTTGTGGTCCTTGTCACCACTCGATAATTCTGGTACTCATCTTAACTGAATCCTACACACTTCCCACGTTGGCCACACCAGATTTTCTATCCTTCCTCAGACCACAGCCCTCGTTCTACCTCCAAACCCCCGCCCCCCTTCACTGATCACTAAGACGTCTCAGAATTTTTTAAGCTAAATTGTGCAGGTCACATAAGAAAATTGCTCTGTATCATTTCCTTAACCACTCTTACTCATTGCTGATTTTTTGGGTTCACCTGACAAAAACCTTCTAAATAATTTTGGTTCACTTTGGTGCCTTTGTTGCCTGCATGATCTTCTTCAGGGAACCATGAAAACCAAGTGGTAAGAATTTTTCTTTTGAGTAGAAGCTATAAGTTCAATACTTTGCTATCTTCACCTCATGATCAAATTAAACTCAGGAGTACATGATCATCTGTTTTCTTATCAGCACTGGGCTTGTGGCAATGAGAACATTTACTGAGTTCTTATTAATTTCTAAGTTAATTAACTTTTTTGAGGCCACAAACATGCTTGTATTTTAAGAAATCTCTTCGTTTATTGAACAACTACTACGTGCCAAGTGCTATTCTACACACTTTACCCAACAACCCTATGAGATAGGCATTGTTATTATTGCCATTTGCATATAAAGAATCAGGGTCACGGAGGGATTGACTTCCCCCAAATGGCACAGGTGATTAGGGTCAGAGCAAGAACCAGAACCCAGGCAATCTAGTTCCAGAGCCCGTTCTATAGAGTACTACTTTCTACATTTTTGTCTAGTTAGAAAATTACTTTTTTTTCAGTGTTCTCTCTGGCACCTCCAATACCTTAGATAACTGAATTCAGTTAAAGAAGTCAATGTGGTTATTTCTTATCATTGGCGGGCTCTGTCCCTGGTTGACTTCACCTTCAGTTTCTTTTTAAAATTGAAATAAAACTAAGAATGAGAAAAACAAGTAGGCTCTTTAAGCCACAAGACTCCTTTAAGACTAAACATATTCAAAGCTAGAGATCCTCCCCACCCAAAAAAAATACATGAGCTGCTGATAAACTCAGCCTATTGAAATTAAGTGAAACATATTTGCTTCCAATTTCTCTGATGAAGGCCCAGTTGGTGGTGGCTGACCTTTCAGTGAACTCTGGTGTCTTCACTCTCCCTCCAGGATTTGTACCCCTTCTTGAGGGGCCTGTAAAAAATCCACTGTCTTCCCCCATGCCAGTACCACTGATAAACGAATAAACAAAATGCTGTATAGCAGCCACACAATGGATCATTATTTAGCCATAGAAAGGAATGTGGTGCTGACACGTGCTTCAACGTGGATGAAGGTTGAAAATATCGTTCAGTGGAAGAAGACAGAAAGGCCAAACACTGTATGGTCCCAATAAAAGGCCAAACACTGTATGGTCCCAA